TACAAGATAAGAAAATTCAATTATTTGTAAGATTCTTCAAAGTATCAGTAAAAATGATTGAAAACTCTGAATATTATCATAGACAGGTAACTGCTTATCCGAATAAATCACGTGGCGAAATCATCCAGTTAGCATATTCGCATTTTGAAATGGATAATTATATTGGAAGGAATGTATGCGTATAACAGTATAAGGGAATGCATCTCATGTGACTCTCTGACAAAATTCCCAGCTCTGATCAAGATTCTGAATATTATCAATAAAAAATCGTTGCATATTTTCTTTACTCCCGCATCTTTGCTTAAGTTTCTTATGTTGGCCTTCTCTCCCTATAAATATTAGAAGTAATTATTATTACATGGAAATGTATTACCAGTCGCTAATTACATCAAGAAAAAAAATAAAGCTATACATACAACAAGGGATTCATAATTACTTTCCAGTATATTATATTTCTCCGAGCTAAGGTCTATTACCCCAATACATATCGGATCATCGTTTGATATTTTATTAATATCAATATTGTTTATTATTGTAAGAATATGTTCGTGTGCCGGTGTTTCTTTCTTCTAATCAAATCGAAAAAATATTTAGTAAAGCACATGACCGAATTTTCTAAGACGAGAAATAAATATATCGATTACTTTGATTTTATCTTTCAAAAGCATTATATTCTTTAATGTTACAGTTTTCCAATTTACTTCTTCTTCGAATTTTCCTCGTAAGAATCCCATGTCTTTTAATGAAACTAGCTCATTTCTAATGAATCGCATCTAAAAAAATAAATAGATGGGTTAATAAAATTCAGGAAGACATCATTATTTTTTGCGCAAAATCCCATCCTAATCAGAACTAGCCGGCATCATTGTCTTAAAAATCATCGTAGGTGTAATGGAAGAGATTCTCGCTGACAATATGTCGCTTTTTCAATTGCATTACACTTATTAATATCTAGACAATATATTCATCACGTTATTCCTATTTTACAAAGAACAAAAATAATGTAAATTACTTGGTTAATATTCTGCAAAGATTTAAGATGTTGTTTACGCTCTTTATCGTTAACTTCATTTTCTATATCCTTTAAGATCTCCATAAGACAATCGAGGTCTTCGTTTTCTGATTGAATTTTGGAACAATTCCACTGCTGGGTGATTATACTAGAAGTGGTTATTTTATCTAAGGAAGAGGTTTTTAAAAAGCTGTATAATGAAGCGAAAATTTCGGCTGATGAGCTAGACATATTTGCTAATTTAAGATAGAGTTTTTATTAGTACAAGTCTTGGTAAAAAATAAGCAACTACAATTCCAAATTTCATATACTGCCCTTTAAATGTTTTGCAATCTCTCTATTCATGTCTTCTCTGAGCCCGAGTTCATGTTGGGGTCGAAGCAGAAGAATATGCAAGGTACTTTTACGCCAAAATTTTGTGTTAGAGAATAAGGGCATGCAGAATGTGCATTGTAGATCTCATCATTGCAAAGGCGTTGGGGAATATGCATATACGATCTTTTTTTTTTATTTCTCTTACTCGACGCTCAGTAATAAAGGTCTAGTAACATTATATATACTCTAAACGAAATCCTCCCTTGTTCAAGGACAGCGGGAGAAACCCAATTCTATTAACTTACTATAGGCTAGTTAAAAGTTGTCTTGAAGTTCTTTGAACGAAGGACGGGATAGGGAAAAAAATCGAAATATTTTCTTTCGGCTTGACGCTGGGGATCGATAGATCAAGGGGGTGTCGCACAAGCAGTCATACAGAGCTATAGCTGATTTGGGTAGTGTATCACTTATTACATCATATACACTTTAACGAGGATCGAAAACGTGCTAATTCATGTCGCACATGCATTGGGCTTGAGGCGCTAGACAATATATTATTTTATTAAGACAATATTCAGGATCTGGGTCAAGGACTGATCTGGAACATTCGGCGCACTAATTCAGAATTATTATCCCAATCTGATAAATCTACAGTAATCGGATTATACAGCTGGATAAGAGCATGGATTTTAAAATTATTTCTTATTGAGTCATACACAATATACCCAACTCTCCTTTTATTCATATATTTCTTATATTCTGGAATTCTAATAAAATTTTTCAAGTTTGATTTTCTATCAATATGATAATATTCAGGATTTTTTGTTCATTTTAACATAACAGTCCATTTCATCTTCCATATTGAATCTCTAATGATTATATAGCCTTGCTGATATAATAATTTCAAAGTGAGTATGAATGCTATATTTATTAATTTTAAACGTAACTGAATTTCTTTTTTCGATATTATCTCAATATCATTTGATCCAAAACCAAAATATTTATGAGGAGAGAATCTACCTAAAAACTTCATATCGTCAGGAGTACCATCATTCCTTACTGTCTCCCAAACTCATTTTGCCCAAGTTTTGGGTCTCAACTTGAAAGCTTTCCAAACCTGTTGGACAGCTTTTGCACTATCGATTAAAAGATTTACAATCCTTTTTCTACCTTTATGTGAAGGATCATAATGATTCAAACCTTTACTGTACATAACTAAATATATTTGATAAATCTTTTCAATCTCATCAGAACTAAGCGATAATACATTTCCTCCTTTTTTCACATTCTTTCGTACAAAATTAGAATGCATTTTAGCAGTTTTAGTAATACATTTCTTCAAATAATCATTGTCACATTTAATGGTATTTTCACGGATAATTACTAAGGAGTCGCATACATTGCAATAAATATTAAATGACTGTCTTCCAGCTTTAAATTCCCCATCTATATATGATCTTTCAATCATCTGGATAAACCCATTCTTCGAGAAGTATTTTGGGTTATATTTGAGAAGTTTTTTGAATGGATAATGAACACGAGAACACCACATTTCTGGTGTTTCTATATTGCAGATTGTTTAACGCCTGCACTACAACAGGATTTAAACCAGAATAGTTAGTTTTAACCATTTATATAGTTTATAACAGATCTTAGTGATTTATAGCGTTTTAACGAATTATAGCAATTTTAGTGTGTTATATCAATTCTTTATCAACCTATACTAGATAATATCACGATTCAAATTTATAAGCAATTTTATTGATTATAGCCGATTTAGTGAGACTTTATACTGCTAAACTCAAATTCATTTTTTAGGCTTATCGGCTATATTAATTTTATATTCAGATACGTGTAGATTGGTTTGTGGATCTAGAACGATTTTGCCTGACATCATGATTCGGTTAAATTTAAATCTGAGTCAATATAACGGCTAAATTATCATCATTGTATTATGATACACCTGGTCAGCACCTCAACAGTCCCCGGTACTCTCCCGTCAATTTCTCGTAACCTATATCACGAGATGATTGGCAATTCAGATACGACTAAGCCACCATTATTTTTTCGATTAATCATTATATTAATCATTATGAAAATTAAAGCGCTGACTGTACACGAAGCTAATTTAATCTTACTCAGTTCTCCCAAACATAGCCTATATAAGCGAGTCTTTTTACCTCTTCCTTTCTCCATAAACTTAAAAATGTCTGCACAGTGGAGCGAGAAACAAACCCGCATGCTAATTGATGAACGTAAAAATGGTAATGAAGAATATCACTGAATCCCGAATCGCAATAAGAAAAACTTCTGAGAGAGGATTGCAGAAAATATTAATCGAGCAAATAATACGAATTGCAATAAGAAATTCTTGGTCCTAACTTGAGCATATTACGTAAGTAATATGATAATCGAGCAGTTGAAAACGCTTTGCATTATACTTAACCTGACTCTGATCTTGTATCTTTATTATATGTAGATGGCCAAGGTCTATAAGGAAGCTAAGGCGGAAGCTGGGTCTCAGGAGAGACCATCAACTAATGAGGAATCTGGGACAGGAGCAAGGGACCAACCACCAGCTAAGGCAATAACTAAAAAGAAGAGAAGTATTATTGGAGAACATTATTACAAAGAGTTCTCTATGGAATTTTGGAAAGAACCTGGTATTTGTTTTTCTGATATTCGTGTTTACTTTGGTAAATCTAGGATATTCTCCCTAAAATATTTATTGTTTCTAGGATCACAATGTTCTATGACGCTATCAACACTCTCAACACCTAGTCCTCTCAAAACCAGGTCTGATACTTCTTCCTCTCCACATAAACAAACCAAATCATCAAGACCTGTAACACCTTCTACTGAGACTCCCATAGTCTCTAGACCTGTCACTCCA